ATATTCTAGTTCCTTCAAAATAGCCACCCTTTGCTCTGATTACTGCTTTGCACACTCTTGGCATTCTCTCCATGAGCTTCAAGAGGTAGTCACCTGAAATGGTTTCCACTTCACAGGTGTGCCTTATCAGGGTTAATTAGTGGAATTTCTTGCTTTATCAATGGGGTTGGGACCATCAGTTGTGTTGTGCAGAAGTCAGGTTAATACACAGCCGACAGCCCTATTGGACAACTGTTAAAATTCATATTATGGCAAGAACCAATCAGCTAACTAAAGAAAAACGAGTGGCCATCATTACTTTAAGAAATGAAGGTCAGTCAGTCTGGAAAATTGCAAAAACTTTAAATGTGTCCCCAAGTGGAGTCGCAAAAACCATCAAGCGCTACAACGAAACTGGCACACATGAGGACCGACCCAGGAAAGGAAGACCAAGAGTCACCTCTGCTTCTGAGGATAAGTTCATCCGAGTCACCAGCCTCAGAAATCGCAAGTTAACAGCAGCTCAGATCAGAGACCAGATGAATGCCACACAGAGTTCTAGCAGCAGACCCATCTCTAGAACAACTGTTAAGAGGAGACTGCGCGAATCAGGCCTTCATGGTCAAATAGCTGCTAGGAAACCACTGCTAAGGAGAGGCAACAAGCAGAAGAGATTTGTTTGGGCCAAGAAACACAAGGAATGGACATTAGACCAGTGGAAATCTGTGCTTTGGTCTGATGAGTCCAAATTTGAGATCTTTGGTTCCAACCGCCGTGTCTTTGTGAGACGCAGAAAAGGTGAACGGATGGATTCCACATGCCTGGTTCCCACTGTGAAGCATGGAGGAGGAGGTGTGATGGTGTGGGGGTGTTTTGCTGGTGACACTGTTGGGGATTTATTCAAAATTGAAGGCACACTGAACCAGCATGGCTACCACAGCATCCTGCAGCGACATGCCATCCCATCCGGTTTGCGTTTAGTTGGACGATCATTTATTTTTCAACAGGACAATGACCCCAAACACACCTCCAGGCTGTGTAAGGGCTATTTGACCAAGAAGGAGAGTGATGGAGTGCTGCGGCAGATGACCTGGCCTCCACAGTCACCGGACCTGAACCCAATCGAGATGGTTTGGGGTGAGCTGGACTGCAGAGTGAAGGCAAAGGGGCCAACAAGTGCTAAACACCTCTGGGAACTCCTTCAAGACTGTTGGAAAACCATTTCAGGTGACTACCTCTTGAAGCTCATGGAGAGAATGCCAAGAGTGTGCAAAGCAGTAATCAGAGCAAAGGGTGGCTATTTTGAAGAAACTAGAATATAAAACATGTTTTCAGTTATTTCACCTTTTTTTGTTAAGTACATAACTCCACATGTGTTCATTCATAGTTTTGATGCCTTCAGTAAGAATCTACAATGTAAATAAGTCATGAAAATAAAGAAAACGCATTGAATGAGAAGGTGTGTCCAAACTTTTGGCCTGTACTGTATTTTTCTTCAGTGTCAGTTCAAGGAAGAAAAGTTATAAGCCCTTCTGTTACCACTGTGAATTCCATCTATTTTCTGTTCATGCCTCGCGGGTGATAGGAGGGTCACAAGTTCATTAAATCAATATGTGTGTGTAAAATAAAATCAACACTCTGACTGCAGTGAAAAGCTTGTGGATTTGGCTCCAGATATGTTACAATACTAGCGTCTGAAACTCCCGGTGTGCTGAAATGCTGACTTAGCACAATTACACCCTAATTGCTATTCATATCTGCATGTAAACCGTTGAAATCTCAGAGGGCGCCACGTGAGTTCAGTCCCATCCCATGCCAGAGACGTCATTGGTGTTGACCCAGAAAGTGTCCCTTGAATAATCAAATATACATTAAATGTATCTGCCTGCATGGAAAATGATCTCTGGATGAACTTCAAACAGCATGCAAGTGTCTGTAATCTACCAAATGAGCTATGTGGTTCTGATTTAAGATCAGTCAAACAATACAGAGCCATGAGGTTTTCCTTTTTTACAACAAAACCACTATTTCCCCAACAGCTTGAAAATTCGGGGCACAGTTTCCATACTCCTCATTCACATCCTCCCACTGTGGTTTCGGGTGGTGAGTTGAAAGTGTGTCTGCTGATTCTTATTTTAGAGTATCACACTTGATTTTTCTATCCTTTTCACAGAGGGAATCTTTGATAGTTTACCAGGATTTTTTTTCCGACAATATGTCAGTAAAATGAACAGATACAATATCTACATTTTTTTTTACAGTAATTGCTGCAGCCACTTCAAATAAATCCTCTTACGCAGAGGCACGGCACAAACCGGAGATATTGTTTGCGCGTCTATTGTCCACAAGCAGAGTGGTGACAGGTATTTCATCAAAGCAACGATAAGAATCCGAAAATGGCTTTCAGTCGCATGAACAGTCAAGAGCATCATGCTCCTTATTAATGTAGCACTCAGCTCTAATGTCTTTTTGTCTTCCCACTCCCTCTCGGTTTCTTACCAGTTTGTTTCCGCCCATTCATCATTGTTTTCCTCTAGAAATTTGTTTCTCACTTTAGTTCTTTGTGCAAGACCCATTCATTTTCTTACTTTCTTGTCATTTAGATGTGACGAGTCGGGGTACAACTTTGTGAGACTCGACAAAAAAGACTTTTGGTTAAATTTAGATGCAAGGATTATATTTAGACACGCCAGCACGGTCTAATAATCCTAACAAAGACCTGTGTTGCCCACACTAAAAGTCTTTCACGTAATGAAATATTTGCAGAAGTTTAGCTCAACCTGCAGCTGCCTCTTGGAAAGTTTTTATTCATGTGGGGGTGGATGACTAATAAAATCAGTTTGCTTCTGGTGGTCTGAGCAAGCTATGGGTGCTGTGAGGGAGCGAGCAGGCGTGGGTGAAGCTCCCTATCTATTGAGGGAGAGAAAACACATGCAACACTGCACTTGCACACAGAGTGAGCCCACTTCAGCACCCCATACAGCTCCCATTGATGGTAGCAGCACTTTCGCCCCCGTCTCCCCCATCGAGGCACATTTCATGCATTAGAAAGTCGCTTGAAGAGAAGCTGCAAAAGAGGAAGCAGACAAATATAAGAGGTCAGGTTGTGCAAGCTTTCCTGTAAAACCTGCTTACCTTGCCATCTGCTCCATTTTTCCTGGTGCAGTGAATGATAAGGTATAGGTGGAGTGAATATTTTCTCCTGTGCTGTTTGAGCCCAGTATGTAGGCAACGCTGTCTGCACTGAGCGGTTTAGGATACCAGGGCTCTGGAGGCCAATGTTCTGATTGGATGGCCGGTGGGGCAAGAGAACGGGGGGTGCATGATGGTCCTTCCAAGTCCCAGAGGGGAATAAAGTGCTGCTCGCAATTTGTTCTGACATCCAGACTTTAGAGAGCAGCCATTGTTCCTGACACTCACAAGCACTCTGGCAGGTAAAGTCACCTCAAGGCTAGACACTGAGTGATGCCAAAAGACGGTGAACGGCGATGCCAGTTACAGCAGAGGCTTGTGCCAGCAAAAGCAAACAGTCAATATAACACTCTGCGGTCGATGACGCTCTGACAGGCTTCTCTAACCACACAATCCATGTCTTGTTTACTGGTTCCCAACCTTTGTTGTCTGATGCACTCTGACAGCCCTTTAAGTTGTACTCAATTACCCTTCATCGACCCATCATGTTTCAAACTTACTATTAACAACACAAAGTGGATGTTGGTACCACATTGTTTCATACAGTTAAATTACTGTAGGCCTATATTGACATGCTCAAGTTTGAGATCTTTGCAGAAACTTTCTTGTGGCAGACAGTTCAACCTGATCCATTAGTTTACCATTTCAACTGTTTACACATCACTTTTCAGCTGTCAACTTTTATTCATTTCTTTTAGCTTATTACTTCAACTGTTTATCCATTACTTTTTGTTAACATTAAGTAGCATTAGCATTCAGAGTACTTTTCAGCTAAGTGTTCAATTATTTCATTCCTTACTTTTAGCTAACTATTTCAATTGTCTATCCATTACTTAGCTAACTATTTTATCCCTTACTTTTTGCATCTTCAACTCTTTAGCCATTATTTTTAGCTAATTCTAACGGTGTACTACTAGCTACTTCTAAGAAAACTAGCCTATTTCATTCCTTACTTTTAGCTAACCATTTCAACAGTTTATCCACTAGCTACTTTTCAGCTAACAGTTTCAATTATAGGCTACTACTCGGCAACTGGCCTATTTCCTTTCTCACTTTTAGCTAACTATTTCAACTGTTTAGCAATTATCTTAGCTAACTTTAACTGTTTTAATTATTTTTAGCAAGCTGTTTATCCATTACCTTTCAGCTAACAATTTCAACTATTTATTAACTCGCCTATTTCATGCCTTACTTTAGTTTACTAATTCAACTGTTCATCCACTAGGCTACTTGTAGCTATTTGATTCCTTACTTTTAGCTAACAATTTCAACTATTACATTTAGGCAAGTCATCTGTTTTTTTTATTTCTTTTAGCTAACAATTTTAACTGTTTATCCATTACTTTTAGCCAACTATTTTTTCCCTTACTTACTTTTTATTTTAAGTGTCAATCGATTTAAGTGTTTACTACTTTTAGCAAATATGCCTATTTCATTACTTACTTTTAGCCAGCTCTTTCAAATGTTTACCTAGTTTTTTTTCTCCTTACTTTTAGCAAACTATTTTACCAGTAGGCTACATTAGTTCAGAAGTTTGTCTTCTCCCTTGCTAATGAGTTGCAGCAAATGTTTTACAATATGCAGTTGATGGGCAGCTCATTAGTGAGCATCAAGTCAGCATCACATCACACATCAAGTCAGCATCACATCACTTTATAATAATGTTTTGCTGTTTATTTTCCTAATTAACACAAATATATGGATGCTTTTGAAAAATCAAATTAAATTCCTGGCAACTGCAGAAGTATGCCCTGGGGGTAAAAGCACCCCTAGTTGGGAGTCACTGTTCTTAACACACTCCTCTCAAAGAGACAATGAATAAGAGGATGTTTCATTATTCATGCCAAATGTATTTATTGACTAAATTTACAGTACACAATAAACACAAATAACCCTCTTGACCACTGCTCAGAAACTTTGTGTACACTGTGAGGATCACCTTTGTTCTCCTTCTATTATGGGTCCACTTCTCTCTGTTTACCGACTGGATCAATTTGCGGTATATTCCTTGAATAAACAATCACATAAGAGCCCACTGGCTGACTATTTTTTCCAAGAAATTCATTTACAAAGTGGTCTATACATAATCTGCAATAGTACTGGCAGAGAATAGCCTACACCTACTATAAAGGTAAAATAAAATAGCTTTAAATGACTAATGTGGTAAAATGTAGGTAGTTCCCTTCTGATATGAGCTCAGTTTTTTTTCTAACATAATAGTACAGCAGTCTTTGTGGAAGAGAATTCACTCTCAGCGCTGTCTTTTTATCTCACTGTGGTGGTGGAGTACCTTGGTGGGAGTGTTGCATCCCAAAAAATAAAGATCAATATGCAGTCCAAGTAATACTCCATCCACACATCTTGTTCTTTCCTTGTTCTCACTCAATTTCTGGTTTAGTCTTTTCTCTTCATACAGCTTCTTCTTTTCACAGACAGCCAAGCAGCAGCATGAGCACACGCCTCCAGGAGAGGTCTCGTCTTTTCCCTTCTTTCAGTCTCGCCTCCTTTTTCTCTCCATCTTCCCCCCAAGCAAACAGGTCCCAGTGCTATACATGTCCGGGCTTGGACAGGTAGGCTATGAGGGCCACAACCACCCCCACATACATCCCTGTTCCAATGGTGATGGAGAGAGCGGCCAGGAATAGGGCTCTTCTGGAGCTCATCCCCGCTCTGGAGAAGTCTCCCTTAGAGATGGCCTTGCCTGTCTGACAAAACAAAGCAGAGAGTGAAATGAGCCGGTGTGTTACTCATCAGCACCGAGTGTATGAGTAGGTGTTAAGCCACAGTTAAAAGAGAGAAAACAAGAAATGCTCTCGGGGAGCCATTAGTTTCCATGGCAATTAGGTCATTATCCCTCTGACAGTGACAAATGTGTTGTTTGGGTGTTTTGGTTTCCTATCAAAAAATGAGCCTGGCCTTTAGTTATTATTCTGATACATTATTTGCTGCTCCGGTATGATTGTCTCTGTAATTATTGTGGAAGATGTTGAAAAACCATTAAGACTGCAGGACGTGAGCCTAATCTTTTCCGACCAGAAAGAAACCGACATTAGACTCCAGTCTCAGCTATGAATGCAATAACTTAAATAATGCAGTGTGCTGCTCACACAGCACATACTGCAGACCACAACCTCAATGTTAATGGTTTCCCAAAGTGAATACAGAGGACTGACAAGTGAGCCGAACCTGCTGAATTTACGTAGTCAATCATCTGAAACAACTGCAAGGAGGGTTGCAAGCTGGAAAATGGGCTGCGGTAGTACTTGTCTGAGTGCTTGTGCTCGCTGACCTTAAATAGAATGCAGTCTAATCAGAGTTAATGACAGGCTTGGGGTCTCTGGGCCTTTACCTTGTGAGAGTAGTAAAAGGCAACGATGCCCAAGGGCCAGAAGCAGCAGAGCATGGAGAAGATGGCTAGGCCCAGATAATCCCGAGGGGGCAGCACGATGAAGTTGTCCTCGCTCTCACTGTCACTGGAGCTGTCACTCTGGAAGACAGCGGGTTGATGAGAAATGATTAAATGTCAGAAAAAGGAGAGGATGATACTTTTTTTTTTTTTTTAACATGACTACTTGACCACTTGTACGACTAAGCACAATTTGTGAGGCTTAGGCTCCCAGGCAACTGGGAGTTGAGGTAAGGTTGACATGTGTGGACAGTCAGGTGTACTTTGGACATCTTCAAAGCAGTGCAGCTTGACAACTCGTACCCCCACCCTTCATGCCAGTGTATCTGCACATGTTCCTCCACCACCCAGGACAGGATGTGTTCAGCCAGCCAGAAAGGATTTGGTGCCTCTGTCAACACCCATGAGCAGCCTGACAGATAACACGGGATTAACGGATTGTTCCATCATTGCGAGGTGACAGGGGAAACGGCAAGAAGACAGTGTCGTTTATGTGCTAAATTGCTTCTACAGCGCGAGAGACCCCCACTGTCTCTCCTCAACGCACACAGTGTTCAACAGGCTCCCAATACTGTGCTTCGATACTCAAACTCGGGGCTACTGGAGCTGAGCGGGGTAATGAATGATAGATTCGAATGCCACTCAGACTACACTGGCACATCGCGCCTGCAGCGAGGTTGGCAATGTGACTGCATGGCTGACCTTTAAGAGGACGCTGCCGTACTTCCCTCAGCTGTCCCAGAGACAGAGTAGATGTTTGTCGAAATAAATAGCCTCCATAAGGAGCAGGTTTCATTTGCCTGCAGGTATCAATCAAAGCGGGGGAGAGGAAGGAGCAAAATAAAAATCAATATGTAAGGCAGGAACTGAAACAACCATTTTAGAGGTAATTAAAGAACAGTCAGGGAGGCGGGCGAGGAAGACAGGAACCATACTTGTGCACTATATTTCTAAGCATATTGTGCACAGCTTTTAATCCAAACCACGGGATCTAATGTGCATTTTTAAGGAGCATTCCTGTGTAGAAACCTTATTTAGATGTGAGATGGAGGTGGAGGATAGCAGTGCTACACTATCCAAACAGTTTCCACATGGCTACCTTTGCCAAGGGAAGATTATGAAGCTCCCTGTTATCTGCTTTATGAACAGTGTCCACCTGGACAGCCGTGTGTGATCCATCAAAACAGCAGCTGGTCATAACCACATAATCTGACATCACATGAATAAATCTGTAGGTACAAACAGCAGTAATCTCCTTTTTATCTTTGTAGCAAGACCTGATAACAGTTCTGAGTGACTGGTGCATTCAGTTGTAGTGACAGCCTGCCTGACACCGACTCCGGCCGACTCCCAGTCTGGTCTGTTGCCAGTATAACTGATGGGGCTCCGCAGAGGCATAGTGCCTTTAACAACCCTGTCACAGTACTCTCGGAGGCCTCGTTAGAGTCTGGAGGGGACAGTTGACTCAACAGCAGGACACACACAGACCCCTACAACCTGTATGTGGTGGCAGTCACAGTGGCATCACCCACACGCTTTTGTTACTTTGTTACCTGCAATTTATTTTTTACTCCATCACACAGATGTCAAACATCTGCTGACAAAAACTAGCTGCTGAATTACAATTGCAAAGTTACACTGCTGTGTTTTTTCTGTTGCTGGGTCTAAAAAAGGAACAGGGAACCAAGGAAATGGTGATGATATGGGTTGCAGTAAGGCATGGGCAGATTATGAGACAATGGGCCCCTCAGATTTGCAAAGGGCTTCACCACCTCTCCTTTTATAGGAGCAAACACACACAGACGTCGTGGTGGTTTTGCATCTCTCTGTAGTCGTTATGGATCTTTTTGTGGGTTTGTGTCTCTTTGTTTTCATTTTCTGTCGGTCATTTTGAGTCCCCTCATGGTCATTTCATGTCTCCTCGTGGTTGTTTTGTGTCTCTTTTGGGGTCAGTTCGTGTCTCCTCGTGGTTGTTTTGTGTCTGTTTGTAGTCATTATGTGTCTCCTTGTGGTTGTTTCTTGGCCCCTTGTGGTTTTGTGTCGTGGTCATTTTGTGTCTTCTTGTGGTGGTTTCGTGTCTCCTCATGGTTGTTTTGTGTCTCTTTTGGGGTCAGTTCGTGTCTCCTCGTGGTCGTTTTGTGTCTGTTAGTGGTCATTTTGTGTCTCCTTGTGGTTGTTTTCTGTCTGTTTGAGGTAATGTGTCATTTTGTTGTTTTTTGTCTCTTTGTGGTCATTTTGAGTCTCTTGGTTGGCACATGTAAATTTGAGCTACATCTTGCAGGTGAAGGCCAGGGGGCCCTCTGACACTTTGGGTCCCTAGGCCTGTGCCCACTAGGCGCGTTCAGTAATCCATCCATGCAGTAAGAGTATACAAAACACATCTGTTGACAAAATATGGTTGTATTATGATGAGAAACCGCCACAGACTCTATTCTGGAATTTTAGCATATGTATGAAGCCTGCGCTGCTCTTTCCCTTTATTTTTAGACTCCATAGCTGTGACAGTCCTCTAATTGTTGGATTTGACTTCTATGTGTCTTCTAGTGCTGTTTGTGTGTGTTTTTATGTTAAAAAAAAACATGAATCTTAGCACGAGGCGCACGCACACATACATGCACACAGGAAGGGAAAGTAAAGAAACGCAGGTGCTGTGCAAAAAGTCTCATATTCCAGCTGGAAACCCAACTTTCATCTGAGCACTGTTCATCAGATTCATTTGCTCTTTGGAATTGACATGGAATAACTTTAGCTCCGGGCTCACCTGCTCCGACGGCCATGCATCAGCGGAGTCCCGCTTAATACCCTTGCAGCACGGCATTACTTATGGCATTAATGGCAGTCGCTGCCATGTCTCTATCTATCTGCCAGGCCTCCGAGTGACAAGAGCTGGTGCGATCATCAGCCCAGTTAGGGTGCTATACTTCTTCCTCTGCCAGCTCAGAGCCCTGGGTACTTCAAAAGTGTCCCTGGATGAAATTAGATTTTCACCACTTCTGAAAAGACTTTGCTCTTTTGCTGTCACGCTTTTCTTTGGAGATTGTAGTTATAGTCCTAAAAGAACAATAGCCTGGATAGATAAACGCAGATGTGTCATTTTCTTAGAATGTAATTATAAAAAAAAAAGGCGTACAATTACCCTGCACTAGATTTGAAAGACTCCAGTAAATTGACCATTTAGAGAAGAGAAATGAGCGTGAATCACACTGGCAGTCTATTAGAATGGTAAATGAAATAATAAGCATCACTGTACACGCCATGACTCACTTTCTGCTGAAAGATTGCCCTGAGAGTTACGAGTAAGTCTCGTATCGCCTTTAAATGCATATAGCCACTCTGTATTCTAATAACTCTGTCAAACACTGCCAAATGGCTCTTACTTGCGTCACATTACTGTAAGCAGTGGAGTTACAGTAAGTATTCCCATATAGCTTGTAGCAGGAGTAGGTATACTGTTGTAGAGACTAAGTATACCACGTACCTACATCTCCAAACAATACACCATTAAAGCACCGCAAACTCCCACACACGCAGAAAACACATTCAGAATTCATTTCTGTGTGACCTCTGACCTCATACTCAGGACCCTGCTCATCCTCCACCTCGTATGACACCGTCTGGATCTTCGGATCCTTCTCTCCTTGCGTGTTGTCCAGAGGGGTTTCTGCGGAAACTCCATCCACCACAGCGTCCTTACTCTCTGTGAAAGTGGTCTCAAAGCTCTCGCTCTTGGAGTCCTTGCTGTGAAGGCTCACGTCGTCCTTGTACAGGATAAAGTTGGGCCCGTAGAAGGCCTCGACAGCCAGATGCAGGGATGTGGCGTCCAGGAACTGTTGAGTCTTATGCCCGCCATTAGTCCCAGTGTAGTAGTAGCCAATGAGGCTGTCCTGGTAAGGCTGGCTCGAGTAGTCACACTGATAACCCTGGTAATCGTTGTGCACCATGTGTCTGCTGGTTTTGTCTAGCAGCGGGTTCTGGAGCTCGCTGAGGCTCTCCATTATGGCAGTTTCAAATGTCAAGTGGATCAGAGGATGGAGTCCAAAAAAAATTTGGCAGTCTGGTAGCTGGAATAAGTACAGATACAATGAAATGGGATTAATAAAGTTTAAAAGCAATACATGGCAAGCATTTCAATGAACTCATTGGGTAGATTGCAACCAGCTTCAACGTCCCTCAGTCTGAATTCCTTTAATGCAATGGTTCCCAACTAGTCCAGATTTCTCCTTAGTCATTACTTAAAGGTCCTCACAGATTCATACATTAAGCGTTTGAGAATGGACATGCGCCCCACCAGTTAGGAATCACTGCTTTAGTACTCTTTGTTCAGAGGAATCAGCAGAGGTCCTCTCCAAAGCAAGCAGACCTGGTGCTCACCTTTTTACCAAGAGCCGAATCATGTTTTTCTGATACTCGTGTCACAGAGGAGCTGCTAATTATAGTAGCCGACATGAAAATATGACAATGGGAATGGCTTTATCTAGAGCCAGTGTTTGGTTTGTCTGTTCTGGGCTACTGTAGAAACATGACAGTGCAACATGGCAAACTTCGTAGACAAGGATCTGCTCCTTATGTAGATATAAATAGCTCATTCTAAGGTAACGAGAACACAACGATTCTTATTTTCAGGTGATTATACACTAAGGAAAACATACTTATTATATTATACTCCATTTCTGCTGATATAACCCCATAAATCCTACACAGTGGATCTTTAATCTATCCAATAGCTATCCAGTCAGACCTAACATTGGGTTTTGAGTAATGTAATAATCTAGGACATGAATTTCAGTGCAGGAAATATTTCATCTTGCTTGGCAATCAGCATTCCTCTCATAAGCTCCCACTAGTCGGGGCCATAAAATCACCATCTGCTGTATGTTAAACTGTTGCATCTCACACCCTCAGATTCATACAAACATGTCCGGAAAAATATCTTCCGCATGTCACGACTACCTATAGTCAAAGCCAGGGAAAGTGCTGCTTTGTTTTGCACTGTATACAGATTACTCAGACTGTCTGTAAACTGGCCTCTCTGAGTCCTCCTGAACGTTCTCAAATGAGTGGAAGATCAGCTGAAAAAAATTAGTGATTTATGTAAAAAAACAACACGGAAACACTGTCAAGAGAGGCCGTCACTAAGGCAACACGTCCGGCAATAAGACTGTGTGTTCTGAGCATATCCAGATTTAAATAAGCAAATCCAGCACCAATAGTGAGTCCCTTTTGGCCAACAAAGACCTTATCCATCAAATTAATCTCTCATCCTACGTGTTACGATGAAATAAGATATAGGCGGCAGAGGCAACTGCATCATATTTTGGAATTAGTAGGAAATAGCAAATCAAGTCAGAGTCATTTCACGTTTTTTTGTCGAAAGCGCTTTTAGTGAGAAATGAGCCACAGGGTGGGAATACACAAGAAAATGTAGAGATTTTCCACACATTACAGAAAAAGAGGTATGACAGGGTTTGATTTATGAGGCTCGGGAGGCGATTGAGTTGCACAGAACTGGACACACACAACTTGGCCTGAGCAAAATAACACCAGCACCCAAAAATGAAATGCCATCTAGCGCAACGACATTAGAACCTATAGCCTCAAGACTTGTGCCAACGCCTCTTACACAGTCTCAACAAAAACTGTGGAGTAGGAACCCTCGCAAAGCTGAGATTTATTGCAGGGTCTTGAATTTGTTTGCATATATTTTCTGCACATCCCAACCCGCAGAGAGGACATGTAGATCTGCAGGAGCAGACCTTTGGCCCCTGTGACCCCCAGAGAACAAAAACTCAACCAATCACAGTAGGTTACAGAGCTGTTCGCCGTGCAGGAGCATGAATAATGTGGGCCAGTGGCTGGATCTGAGCCCACACATCCAAGAATCGTGGCTCTGTATCTTCAACACTGTGTCCTGCGGTCTCCATTCTCACATGCTTCTGAAGCTGAGCCTCTCTCCAGATAACAGGGAATTCCATTACACACTACATTAGACAACAAAAACCACATCCCACATCCACAAATAATTCATCTCCCACCATGAAAGATGTGCACTTAGCACATGTGAGTGTGTGCTTAGACTGCACAATTATTAATGACCATGAGCACATACCCTCCTGCCTTCTCTGTCTCTATCTGGTTTGTCATTTTACAACAATTTATTCATATGTATGTCACTCTCTTTCTCTCACACAAAAACCCCCCACAGATTTTCATTATTTCAATGACATCACACCTTTTTATTTTACCTCTCAAAATTGCAATACTTTACAATTTTTAAGTAGCTGCACATGAGAGAAATCCTCATGTTTCTTTACTCTTTGCTCCTTTTATATTATGGTCAGATCTCATATCTGCCATATTTTTTGCATACCAGTGGCTAAACATCCGAAAACCATCTTACCTGTAGTGGAAAATCCTCCCGCAGCTTTGCTCAGCATCGTTCCTCGGCGCAACTGAGTCGATGGAGACGGACGGACCCACTTTTCTACTTCACATCATCAGTTTTGGGAGAAACTGCCATCGTAGCGCAACATTATGACATCCGTTTAACAGGAACTTATTCCGTGTGTGTGAGGATGGACTTTGCTCGCTCAGCTCTGCCTGCCATGGCACCGCCGCTGCGTCTGACAGGTAGATTTTACGCACAGTGTCACACTGAGCTCGGGCTCCAAAACAACTCCGGCAGAGGCTGAGCTGACTCCAGCCAACTGATTGGCTGTGCGAGGCGCGCTGTAAACTCTAATACCCACCGAAGATTTGACATTTCCAAACTCTACTTGCCTTGCCTGGGCGTCTTCCTCCAGCTCACTGTCTCGTGTGCTGCCTTCACGCCCCCCCAGCGGTGCTATTTTGCCTCGTTGCATAGGCAGTGAGTCTTACAATTGAAAAAAAAAAAAAAAAAATATTTGAGCTCACACGAACCAGCATCTCCTTCGTAGACTCATGGTGTCCTGAAGTAATTGCATTGCTTGTATTACTTGCTTAACTGAATTGTGAGCTGGAAGTGATATTCTTCCCCACTGAGAACGCCCACTATGTAGAAAACAAACAACACAGCAGGGGCGGACTGGCAACAAATAGCAGCCCGGGAATACACTGTCAGGCGGCCCCAATGTGATTCACCAAACTCCAACTGACAGAGTATTAATTTAATTAAAAAAAAATAAAACACAATCCAAAAAAATCCCTTCCCCTGTTGTGTGTACAGAAAGCAAACATTTAAAGTTGAATCTGACTTACTTCCCTGCTTTACAGATGTATTCTTTTCAGATGACTGCACTATATTCACACTAAGTAATTAGTGTCTGTCTGTTATTACTGGGCTGGCTATCAAATAAAATATGCCTCATTAGGGTTAACAAGGTGCCTGTGAGCACCTGGTCGCCCACAGGGAGCAAATAAGTCGTCTGCAGGACATGTTTTAAAAATAACTCCCCTCAAACCAGCTGTTGCTGCATGGTCAGTTGAGCCCACACTACAACTATAGTGTGCCAATATACTGACCATAGTCTGTATAAAATAATGGACGTAGCTACAGTGAGGTCACCCACTGGTTTGTGGATTCCTGTTTTGAAGCCTTGAATCTGGCATTTCAGGTGTTGCTAACTTGGTTTTTGGAGGCAGAAGTGACAACACACACTCATTCTGAAGTCGTTGAAATCCTGTGCTTGGGCAATGATTTGCGATGTCAGACACAGACAAAAAAGCTGTCCTTTTAATGTCAGCATGGTACACAGCTGGTCACCATTATAGTTTAATGGCTCTTGGTGGCGTCAGGGGGACACACAGCGGGACACTAAAGTTAAGGTGACGAAAGTCCAAGTGGGGTGGGGGGGGTGTTGGATGGATTCAGCAAACACTGACCTTCACCCGAGAGAGTGGTGTTCGTATCCTGTAAGATTATACAGCCAAACCCTGGCTGTATAATCCTGGTTCTATGTAAACATTAAATTTCCTGTGAAAACGGAAGTGTATGTTAAAAGAAGAGACCTTGATGCGGTGTCCCAGAAACTCGACAACACCCAACTCCGGTAGAGCAGTGTTTGCACCCCGTAAGATTCTAAAGCTAAACCCTGTTCTTTTTTCCTAAACCAAACCACATGCTTTTGTTGCCTAAACCTAGCCATGTGCGTTTGTTGTTGACGGCAAAAATACATAAATTTGTGGAGTTTTACCGACATAGTGCGTTTATTTTGAAAGAGAATGTATGTAAACTGCAAATTTCCTGTGAAAACAGAAGTGTATTTTGAAAGAAGACAATGCATGTGAAAGGCAGAACCTGTCACTGCATCCCAGAACATCAAAAACCAATGCACCCTGGGTACCTTGCATGTCGTATCTGGACACGGAAAGTCCATGACTAAATGTCGATATGTGACGAGGTTGGATTGAGAATGTGTTGGAAATGACCATATGTGGACGAGAGGTTGGAGCTGTGGAAGAGGGAGGGGTGGATCTGACTCATAGCAACGCCTTGCACACAGCCTGTCATTTAAGCAGCCCGGTCTTAGGTCTGCGTAACTTTAAGCCTTAATAAAATGTAAACAGGTGAGTTTTATAAAAATTCACCCCCCATACAGTTGTCATAAATGTTAAGATTCACTTTACCAGACTAGTTTTTGTACCAGGCCAAACATGTTTATGTCTGCTGGAAGTCTGTGGGGATTGGTTCACTTCTGGAGCCAGCCTCAAGTGGCCATTTAAAGAACTGCAGTTTTTGGCACTTCCACATTAGCTTCATTTTTCATACCAGAGGTTACTGCTCGATACTGACAGTCATGGTAAATGCATTTAAACCACCCAGATTGAGCTGACTGGGAGAGCTAGCAATGGAATTAGTTAAGTTAGCAGAAGGATACACATGTGATTAAGTCCAATTTTCAAAATAAGGTGTTAATCTGACTGGCTCTCACAAGACTTCCCCACTGTAACATTTCCTAAACTTCCTGACAGCCAGTCTGTGCCTGCAACACATAATCTTCACAGAACATTTTAATGAGGCCCCTCCTTCTCCTACATGGATTTTAGGATTCCCCTTCTTCGCATTATCACAGCTTTTATTCTTTGTTTTAAAAAAATATGCCAATTTGCCTTCACTGCCTTCCTGTCCATGGTCCCTGTGATGTGCACGGCTGTGAGTGGGTTCCTAAATATAGCTGAGGAATAATCCACTACTAAATTCATTGCACATTTATATTTGATTAATATTTTAGACAAATCCCATGCATTTATCATGAGCCTGCCAATTTAGTTGTGCCTTTAACCCCACTCTGCTAAGCTGCTTATGATTCCACGCCACAATTTATCATTGTAAACACTGTTTACATAACATTAATATGGATGTATTTCCCATGCAAGCAAATGGGTGACATAATAGATTCCACACAACAAAGCTAAACCTAATTTATTTTGATCCCTGCTGGAGAATAATCATGACATAACTACAGCATTTACAGGGACACAGTCTTTGGGTTTAGACTCATGTATAAACACACTAAAAACTGTGCTTATCAGAGGCTGCAGTGCTTTGCCAAAATGCCAAAAACTAAAAGACTGATATATAGCCGGTGAACACTGGACACATATCTTATTCAGAAGGAGCACTCTGTTCCACAGGCTCATAAAAATGTCTGGAGTTAATAATGTGCAAGCCCAGGCTCTGTCACTTTCACTGGGAGATGCATTAAGGTGCTGATGGACACTTTATGGGGGAAACATGGAGCTGCATTTATAAGACTGGGCACACATGAGCTGCGCCTCTCCCGGAGTCACCTTGTGTTCACATGCACGAGGCGACATGGCATAACAGCCCGGCCGTCTCCGTGATGGATACCTCTCCCTCAGGAGACGAGTATATTAGAAGAGGGGGTGACGAGGGGACCAGAATCTGTAACCGTTTATCCATTATTCTTCTGTCTCTCTCCCCATCAGCCGTCACAGCGGGATTCAGAGTAACATTCTCTAATAAAGTTCTGTGTCAAAGCCTAAATCTAAAATATGGCAGGATGAAGGCGAAACCGGCACGAATCAGTGTTGCCACATTAGGCATAATTTGGGAAAAGAGGAGATTTCTCCTTGGACCAGGCTTTTGCCAGCCTTCTGTGGATGGACTGTGAATATTTATGGTCCTCACTGTTCCCCTTTCTTCTGCTCCATTTTCCACTCTATATTTAGGCACTGTGTCACTACGTAGCCGACGCACAATTTGTCAAGCATTTCCTCCTTGGAGTTTTGTAATTTCAGGAAACAAAAAGATTATTAGAGCTGAATATGCTGGTATTCATGTGCTGTTGATTGACAAAGAGCAACACTAAAGCAGAAAATGTTTTTATGGTTACCACTTATTGACTTTCCTCCACCTCTGTTTGATATCGCAGTCAAGTCCTGACACCATGAACTTTCCCGGGGCCCATTAACCAGCTTTAATCATTTAAACACTTTTGGGAATTAATCGCCCTAATCCGATTGGCAGAGAAAGTATCAAACCACTTAATTTGATCTGGCCTAGTCGGCTTTTGCAAAGAAAGGGGAGATTTAAGAGGCTTTTCCCACAAGGCTGTTCTGTGCATTATTTCCTGTTTGATTAAACACTTTAACAAAGCGTATGCCAATAGAGCACCTCTGACCACTGAATCAGCCCACGGGACTGATGAAAAAGAGCAAAAATATACAATTAAATACATATGCTCACTTGGAAGTTCACATTTGCAGCATAGTTTAAACAGATTTGTGTATTTACAGCACAATTTCACACCAATGTTGTCTCTGTTTCTTGCTTATCATATCAAAAAGAGTCAAATAATTCTTATGTTTGTGGTTATTTTCATAAAACAAACTATTTTTCTGCTGCTGGTTCTCACTGCAGACATCAGGTGCTCTGTGAGAACTGCATCCATTTGGCCAAAGAGGTCGATCTGCAGAAAACAGTGGGACTTCAATCCCTGCGGCGCCAGGTTCAGGTGCATGAGCAGGATGAGGTTCAGCATATGGGAAGGTTTTGGCAGAAACAGAAGCTGGAGCTCCTCTCAGACCCGGAGGCATGCTGCAAGCCTCGGAACAGAAAACTCACATTTGGACAGAGAGCCAGTGCTAAATACTGCGTCATATTCACCACCTGACTCAGAGTACAATGAGCTGGCCGAGAAGCAGATGACAGCGTTGCGTCCTGTTTCGGGCAGAGAGTGAGTATGTAAATTACAGTTGGTGATTAATAAGATAGTAGGTAGGTGGGGGAATAAATAACACATCCAGCTGAATGCCTTCAGGCAGTGGGTATTTCTTCCAAAGGAGCAAATTGAGCTTAAGAACCGACAAGCACAACAAAAGCTCTTTTATAAAACTCAGTTTGTTTACCATAAATGCTGCTATCAGGCTCCCACAGAATTAATTTCAGAGAGCCGTATTACAGAACTTCGCTTTAGTTATTTGTTAAGGTCTGTGGGTAAAGCCAGGCGGCCTGTAGAGCATTAAAGGAAATGGATTTATTGCCCTCTTACATCCAGAGAAAATGAAAATGAGTTTGACTCCTACAGTAGGCTGTCATAATGAAAAACATAATAGTCTGTGAATGCCAACATTATGAGAAGCAATTTCATTTAAGTGTTAGAAAGTTTCACAGTATGTGACTTCTCAAGGTCCTTCTACAAATGTCCAATCAGAATATTAACAGTATGTGTCTGGACGTTGGCCCACGTCTGTGTGGAGTGGATGTGTGGGGGAGTCCCGAGGGACCGGCAGAGGCTTTTTGGCTTTGCAATTATCCAACACACAAATGCAATATGTGTCGAATTAGCTGAAAGCGCTCCATCAGGAGGGGAGAGGTCGGAGTTTGTCATCCGCCGTTTCAGACAGAAGCACCACTTTGCAGCTCTGTACCCTTCACCTATAAACACACATCCCTTTAGCGGTTTCATGGAAAATGCAAAGTGTGCAGCTTGGGAGACGATCCGGTCTACAGCCGCAG